ACAGTTCCAACTGGGGGACACTTGGCAGGACCTGATTGGCCCACGTGGCGCATTCCGATTGGTGGGAGCAAAATCCCCTAATCACTAGGCAAAAGTATGAAAACACATTTATGTTAGTTGACATTTATTTTCAATGGATGAATCTTGACGATGATGTAGAAACCTATAAGACTCATGTGAAGGATCAGTTTTTTGATTTATATAGAGTCTATGAAATCAAATATGGCACCGTTCCTCGCTCAGGCCTTTCCCAACCATCCAAAAACGTAAGTAAGAAGGCCTAACATTTATTTTCACAAGCTACTAACTTGATTTCAAGGTTTTCAGGTGATTCATTAATCAGGAGAACGCAAAGCGACGTCTCGAAGTTGCAGATGTACCTGAGTTAAGACTTCACCAAAGGCATGGACGACGATGAGATAAACAGCCTCGACCTCCTTGCATGGTGGAAACAACAAAGCGGGAAGCATCCAACTTTGGCGGAAATGGCACGAGACATTCTTCATATCCAAGTCTCCTCTGTTGCCTCCGAACGAGCTTTCAGCGCATCCGGAAGGGTTCTGGACGATAGAAGAACAAGTCTAAAACCCGAAACACTAGAAATGTGCGTGTGTTTCAAAGATTGGTTGGATGCGAAAAATCGCTCACAAGACCGTTCTTACAAGGACAACGACAACGATGAAGGAACCTCTGCTTCCGACCGTTCGGGTTCGACTAGTTCTCAATCTATCCAACTAGCCGATGAAGCCGAAGCCGAAGACGAAGACGAAGACGAGGACGAGCAACAAGAAGAAGAAGAATAGACAATTTTTGTATATTGTACGATTTTAATCATTATCGTTTATCAATATTATCATTATCCAATTTTTGTTTAATACCATCATTTTACGATTTTTTTCATTGTTATCATTGTACAATTCTCTCAACTCAAGTAATAATAATATGAAGTATGCATTATTCACATCCAAAGTCCGATTTGCCTTTTTTCCCCATTTTATTATAATTTGTAAATTAATATAAAAAAAAAAGAAAAATACCAATTAATAATACAAAAAAATATTTAATAAATCATAAACATTAAATTTTAAAGTAATAGTATAAAACTATAAACTAAATATATAAACTTATAAGTAATAAAACATAAATATTCAACTTAATTTATTTTATAACTTATAATTTTATAACTTATAAGTTATAATTATAATTTTATAACTTATAAGTTATAAACTTATAAATTTAAACATAAATATTCAACTTAATTTATTTTATAACTTATAATTTTATAACTTATAAGTTATAATTATAATTTTATAACTTATAAGTTATAAACTTATAAATTTATAACTTATAAAAGTTATAAGTTATAACTTATAAGTTATAGTTATAATTTTATAAATTATAGGTTATAAAATTATAACTTATAAGTTATAATTATAATTTTATAATTTATAAGTTATTAATCGTTAACAAAAAATAAATAAATAAAAAAAATTACAAGGCCAGCATAAAGGTCGGCACGGCACGAGCCCGCCAGGCACGAGGGTCGTGCCAGGCCGTGGGCTAGCCATTGAAATTGGCCGGCACGGCACGGCACGAAAACCTGGGCACACCGGTGACCGTGGCCCGCCAAGCACGACCCGTGGCGGTCCGGTACGGCACGATGCCCAGGTTTAGGGTCGGGTCTAGGTCAGGTCACTTTCGGGTCGGCTAACATTCGGGTCGAGTATGGGTCGGGTCGGGTCAATTCGGGTTTCGGGTCAACTTCGGGTCATGTATCGGGTCAAGTTCGGGTCGGGTCATTCGGGTCAAGTATGTTCGGGTCATATTCGGGTCAGGTCAAAATTTGGTCGGGTCATGTTCGGGTTGTTTTATTTGTGAATCAAGCTCAAATGAATAATTTTATACGGATTATATATTTTTTATTGTTATAATAAAAACTATCAATTCAGTTTATGAGCTTAGCTACGGTTAAAGATGAACAATTTGAGTTACTTTTGGTACGAGACATTTTAAGTTCAATTATAAGGTAATTTTAGTTCAGGACATGTCGGGTATTGGATCTGTTCGGGTCAATTTTGGGTATCAGGTCTGTTCGGGTCAAGCACTTCGGGTCAATTCGGATCGGGTCAACTTCGGATCGGGTCGATTCGGGTGTTGGGTCAGGTTTGGGTCAACTCCATTTTTGGGTCGAGTATGGGTCAGGTCGGGTCAATTTCGGATTTCGAGTCAATTTCGGGTCATGGGTCGGGTCATCGGGTCTCGGTCAGGGATGCCATACACCAATCAACAATTCCCATTTAAGCTATTAATATTTTGATGAGCATGTAATATATTATTTTTAAGTTCTTCCTTCTCAAAATGTGCATAATTACACTACTACGTTGGAATCCTACTTTAACACAACTCATTATATGAGAGAGTATTAAATTTACTACTTGCCTCAATCTATAGATATAAGTGAGTAATAAATAATAATCATGTTTCATAAATAATAATTGTAACTCTTTCTTATAAAATTGAATTAAGTTTGCATTAATTTTTCTTGTTACTTATACTTAAATAATTACATGATTCAGTCCACTTTTAATAAACGGTTTTTTCACCATATACCCTTGAGTTTTTTTGTTTATTCGCCATATACCCCTGAACTTTTTAAAATTCATCATATACCCCTGAGTTTTCACAAAAATACATTATGTACCTCTGATGACTAATGATTGTTAATTTCGTCAGTCATTAGGGTTAATTATGACCTGAAGCCACCCTAAATACATTCCCTTACCCCCGAAACCACCTACATTCCTTTTTCCCACCCCCAAAATCACCCCAAATTTCCTTTTCTCATCCTCAAAATCAACCATACGAATATGATTATGGAAATTTGGAGTGGTTTCGGATGTTAGGGAAAGGAGAGGATCGGTTTCGAGGACGGGGGGAAAGATCTAAGGTAGTTTTGATGCATAATTAACCAAATTTCACTCATCTTGTTTTCATTAGGGGTATATGGTGAATTTTTGTTACAACTTAGGGGTATATGGTGAATTTGAAAAATTTTAGGGGTATGTAGTGAATTAACAAAAAACTCAAGGGTATATGGTGAAAATCCGTTTAATAAACATATCGTGTCATAATTAAATTATTACTTCTTATCATGCTTGTAAACAAGTCATTAAACAAAATTCATCAAACAATCCAAGAATTATATATATATATATATATATATATATATATATATATATATATATTATGATGTCACTTCAATTTTCAAAGTATATAAAATACCTAATATGATACTATGCGAGTATAAAAAATTCATACATGTATACATATTAAATAAAATTTTGGTGAATAGTCACAATCACTAAAAATCATCTTACTCGAATTCTCCGATATTGTAAAAATAATTATTGTCAAAATAAAATTGCATAATAATTAAAATACGCTAAGACTAAAACAAGAAAAAATCTTCTCATGTGAGAAATAAAAACTTGTAGGAAAACTTCTGAAAATAACGACTACTATCATCCGTAACACATATGCATCAAAATCCCTTCCAATTTAAATGGAATCTCGATTTTGACAACTTTGATATGAATTATTACTATAAAAAAAATAACAGTCATTAAAGATATCTTTATAATAAATTAAGACATTTAATGCAAGCAAAATAATCCCTCCAAATTTTTATAGTGCGCACCACTTTAATCGGCACAATTTCTTAGGAGATTGACTTGAATTCTATAAATAATAGGCACAAAGAAATTGATGAATTGTATAAATTTTCATAGTATCAACTAAGTTTAATAAATATACGATCAAAACTATTTAAGGTAAAATTAAGTTATGTATCAACAAATATGTATATTAAAGTGTTCCAATTACTTTAGGATGATTGATTTTGTAGGGTACCCCTCCGTTTCTTTTTATCGGTTATGTTAAGATCTTAAACACTATTCATAATTAGGGATGGCAAACAGATCAGGTCGGGTCAGTTGATTTCGGTCAGCTACCCCCCAACCCGACCCATTTAAGTTTTCGGGTTGAAAACCCCAACTTGAACCTGATATTTTCGGGTTTGGGTCAACCCGAAAGTAACCTAATTTGACTTGATTTTTTATTTTTGGGTTTAAATCAGGTTTTGACCTGAAATTAATCGGGTTCGAGTCAACTCGAAAGTAATCTGGTTTAACTCAATTTTTTGTTTGGGTTTAAATATGATTTTTTTGACCTAATATTGGCTTATACAACCTTAATTTTTTGGAAACTACTTAATTTTCTTTTTAAACAAACTGATATTTTCATTTTTCAAACTAATATTCTCAAGCAAAACACCAAAATTATATAATGAAACTAGCATAATTAACGATTACATATCAAAATAAGATCTACCTACTGAATTACAAATTAGAATTCAAAAGTAACAATTTTTTTTTAAACAGACTTCATATAACATAGTTTTTGGGACGATGTATGTCAAGGCGTGTCATCCTTTCACCCTTTCACACTTCAGGATAGATCCATATTTCGAATTTGAGGGTTTGAAATGTTGAGAAGAGAGAGAAAATTGAAATATGAGGGAGGAAGTTGAAAACGAATGAGTAGTGTGTGAAAAAGTGAAGTAGGCATTTAGGATTTGAGGGTTTTAGTCTACTTTAAGATATTACATAGGCTTGGGCCGAATTTTATTTGTTTTGTTTAGATATTTTTATTTTTGTTTTATTTTTATACTACATATCTATCTTATACAATTCGGGTTATCAGGTTGGGTTGGGGTTGGGGTTGACCCAAAAATAATTTTGGGTTAAGTGGGTCATTTTTGTGTTGAAATTTTCAACCTTAAATTAACCTATTTAATTTCAGGTCGGGTTCGTGTCAACCCATTTAAATTTTCGGGTCGAAAAACTCAATCCTAACCCACTATTTTTAGCTGAGTTTTCGGGTCGGGTTAGCTTAATAGCTTTTGCCACCTTTATTCGTTATACTCCCTCCGTTTTTTTTATTGGTTACGGTCATATTAGTATCACTAGTATCAAGAGGAACTTGCAGACCCCAATAGTATCAAGAGTGAACGGAGGAAGATAAGAGGAGAGAAGAGAGAAGAGAGAGAAATTCAGAAAATTGAGAATGTTGAAGTTCCTGTCAAAGGTGAAGCTAGAGTTCAACGCACTGGACTCCCGTGCAGGTGCGTGCATGGAGTTCTTAGCCCAGTGTAGCGCGGGAAAAGCCAGAGACTCAAACCCCAGTTGCCAAGTCGAAGTTAAGCGTCGCACCGATGATCACCCTCCTCAAATCAAGGTCACCTTCGTCAATGGCGTTGAGGAAGTTTTCGACGCTTCTAAAACCTCTGCTCAATCCATTCGTACTCTCATTCTCGATAAAGGTCAGTACCTTGAAACTGAGCAGATGTTTCGAGATGGTGGTCAAGGTTGGCCTGTCATTATTCCTGAGGAAGAGCTTCGTGAACCTACTCCTAGTATTAAGGTGTGATTTAGGTTCTTGCTGTTTTGATCTGGGTTTGTTGTTTTTCTTTCAAGCATTTTGTCGAACACCTTATGTGCATGTTCTTGTTGGATGCGATTATGTTTATTCGGTATCAATTGTGTTTACTGTTGAAATTTGGGATTGATTTTTGTGTGTTGATGTAACATTTGGGTGAAATTAAGTAATTTTGCCTTTAAAAAAACAGTTATTTTTGTCCTTTTGATGGATTAGGTAATGTTCTTACAAAGCATTTAAAATTTGGGAGTTTAAACAAGGATTTTGTTTGCTGTACCATTTTTTCTTGTTAGGCTAGAAAACTTCGTTCAGTTGGAGAGCTGCTTTGAATTGATTTAGTGTAGTGCCTTATGCTGGTAGTTCAACTTGATGTTATTGGTGGTGCTCCCGTGGGTTTTACCCCATTGTGTATTTAGTCTTTTCCACATTCATTATAGCTCAACTTGAATTTTAATTGTTCCCCGCCCTGCCTAGATTATGATCAATGCAAGAGCTTTCTTTTTCTCGTAATGCTTGACAGTAAATTCCTGTATGGGAGAAAATATTGTGTCTCGGAAAACACTCAAATACAGTTGCCGAAGCTGTTGTACATTAGTAGCAAATGCAGTTGTTTACTTTGGTCCTTGATTGAGCGATTAGAAACTGGGATGGCAAGTACTAATAAAAAAAGTAAAATTGCTAGAATATCTTGGTGCATGTGGTGATATTTCTTCCTCGTTGATTCTTTTCCGGATTGCTTTTGGCCCTAAATTTTATATAAATACAAATGAGAAGGAATGATAAAAAAATATGGGCTCATTGCAGTATTGCACTTGCATTGACGTAGTAATGAGTTGGTGGCCTGGTTCTCCTATGTGCTGGCTTTAACATTTATTGTTGGCTTGGTAGTTGGTATCAGAAATTTCCTTTTTTTTTTTTAACATTTGGCATAGTTGGTTTTTGCCCTGCTGCTTTTATTTCAGCTCAAATCATATTAGCAATCTATTGATTCTATTCAGCATCATGTTTGTATGAAAGCAACTTAAATCTTGATATTGTTGGATTAAGGTACTTCAGAGCATTATTGAAAAGTAAATAAAGATTCCATGCTAACTATTGTTTCATTAGAGTCTAAGAAGTTAAGGTGTATTATTGAAAATTGTTCTTCAGAGAACAATGGTGATCTTGTACACTCCCTTTCCCTCTTCATCATTTAAGATATAATGCTTGGTTTTTGTTTTTTTGTTTTTTTGTTTTTTTGTTTTTTATTTATTTATTTTTTTTTATTTCTTGCAGCCTAGAAAAGCAGAAGACAAAAAGCAATAATTGCCCCTTCTTGAAAAGCTAGCTATGTCAGTAAGTTTTTAATATCTCTTTCCTCATAATACATTGTTTTCATGGAAAGTTATTCTCTGCAATTCTTTTGTAAATACATATTTTTACCAAAAGCTTTGTTTTTTTAGTCTATTCTTCTTTTCTTCCATCTTTTTTTAAATATACTAAGGGTCTAACGGCTAGCCTCTAATTGTAACACCATGATGGCTCTTGGTAATTTGCCTTTTGATGCTGAAAATTCTTATTATTTGGATTTTATTGGACTTTTTCTTAGAGTATATATATAAATGTGCACACTGAATATTGAAAAATTATAGTGTGCAGTCGTAGAAGTCTCATATAAGAACATTAATTAGAATGAAAGTAGTAGAATATACCTAGTTCCAACTTGTGTTGAACTCATATGTGAGATTGATGTGCTTGATATATATGAGCTCGAAAATCTACATACATATATTCATGTTACACCTTTAAAATTTAGCAAAATGCAAAATGCAAAATGATCGGAATCAAAAGAGAAAATGGTTGAAATGTCTTAGGTGCACCATAAATATAGGCTATGTTAATCGGACAAGGCTAAAATTGTGAAGTGTACGTGTCGACACGACACGACATGGACACCGACACGTGTGACCCTTCAATGTGCACTCGGACACTTTCATTAAAAGTGAAGAGAAAAAAAGAGGAGAAACATGAAGAAAAAATAGGGGTGGACGTAATGAAAAATTTAAAGCTTTTGTAATATATTTTATTTATATAAATTTAAGTGACGTATTGACGTGTCCCCGTACCCATGTCCAAATATCGGACAGAGTCCCCGTGTCCTAGAATTTTGGAACTTGCCGGATCGGACACTTGGACACGTGTCCGTGTCCGACCGATCCTGAGTCTATGTAGCATAGAATATAGGTCACCCTACCCAATTTATAACAATGAAAGAATAAAATGCCTTTAGTATTTTATTATTTCCAAACCTCTGTACACTTAATATTACTTCAATAAGCTCCTCATATGGATATATCACCAGGTTGTTGTCAATGATCTTTCAAAAAACTTTCCAATTATCCTTTTGTATCCAGGCCTCTGTTGCACCATCTTCTAGTACTCCACAACGTTTGTCCTAGTATTAATGTACCCATTTTCATCTTAGGAGCAACAGACAAGCTAACATCTTCCATGGTAAACTCTTCTCCGGCTAAGTAAGAAGTGTTGTTCAATTGTGTTTCTATTTTATCAAGAAGCCTAATTAAATGTTTTTCACTCCTCCTTAATACCTGTAGATCTTTCAACTTTTCTTTTGTATCATATTCATTTCTCAGCCTATGGTGATAGGCACTTGTGAGATCAGGAAACTCTGACATCTAGCAAAAAATTTGTGAATTCTGATTTCGGAAATATATAGCCGGTGACTCCCAGGGACATGAGAGAGTGAAATATTTGGGGTTCTGCTCCTGGATTTTGTGCATGCATTCTAGGACTTATCTGCTGCAGCAGAAAGAGACAACTGCCTTTATATGTACCTGCAAACCAAAGGAGCGTTCCATGGAATCAACTTTTCCATCCTTTCAACTCACAATATTACTTGCCAAAATTTCAAGTAAAACTTAAAAGTTTCAAATGAATTCTTATATCTTTAGTAACAAGATTCTTAATCTTTAATCATCGGATAAATACCATATCAGAATTCAAAATCTATATTTCAATTCAGTACCATGAAAAATTTTCAATATTGAATGAAACTTTAGACCCACCTTTAAAAAAGGATAAGGAAATTTGATTCCTTTTTCTATGAAAAAGTATACTTATATTGATTAAAGTTTACTTGTAGAATGAATGATATTATGAAGTATCTAATAGACTGACCTTCACAACAACGACAACAACAAAGCCTGATTTTTATAACCAATGTAAAAAATAATGTCCAAATAATAATAATAATTAATAGGAAAATTTGACCTTTGCTACCACTAAAATGCACCACTTTGATTTTTGCTGCCCATCTAAAATTTTATTTTATTTTACTACCACCCAAAACCTAAAAATATAGGTTTTGCTACCACTTAACAGTTTTCGTTACCCTTCCCTTTTGTCGGGCCCACTTATTTACTTCCTTCCATATTCTTCTCTCTCCATGAACCTCCTCACAGCAGTCCATCCCAAACACCTGGTTATCCTTACATTATAATCCCCATATTCACCCCTTTATTCTCTGAATTTACTCCTAAATAATAAACGGTTAGGACTCACAATTTTTTAATGTTATTTTCTTAAGTTCTCTTTGATAACCCTCTATTTTTTATTTTTCTCATTGGTTGCAAAAAAACTTATTATCTTTGGTAATCATGAATTTTTATAACCAAATATAATAGATATTCTAATTAAAATACTTAACCATGGTCAGTTTTATAATAATTAAATACCTTTTTTTTTATAAAATAAAAAAAACCCACCCCTTCCCACCAGTCCAACACCCTCTCCCTCTCCCTCTCCCTCTCCCCCTCTACTGTTAGTGCCCTGATCACCTTCTCCGTCGACGCCCACGCCTGCGGCCGACCCGACCCCAACTCCCCAACACCCCAACCCCCACCCCCACCCTGAGACCCCCACAAAAATGTAACTGAAATAACTGAAGAAAGCAAAAACCAAAACCCTCTATAGTAATCGTTGTTTGGGTAGCCGAACAAACAAACTAGAAAACAAACAAACAATGGAGACGACGGCAGAATCAACACAAACAAGGTGTTAACATCGACCTTGAACTGGCTCTCTCTGAATCGGTTATCAAACATCTTCATCAAGGCAGTTTTCAGCGATTTAAGCCGTTACTATCCCTTTACTTTGCACCTATAAAGATGTTGTCGTCGATGTCGCCACCGAAAAATTCCTTGCTTTTAGTGTTGAAAGGGAAGGAGTAGGGTCGCTAGCTGGGGAAAGTGCCGGCAGAGAAGGTGGACCGAGTGCCGGCAGTGGAGTGGGAGGGGGAGAGGGAGACGGAGACGGAGAGGGTGGCTGGGTGTGGGGAGGAGGTGGTTTAATTTTTTAAAAATTATTTAATTGTTAAAAATTTAAAAAGAAAAAAAAAAAAAAAAAGAAACTAACTATAGCTGAATATTCAATAAAAAAAAAAGTATCATTAATGTTATAAATAACTTAATATAATAATTCATGATTACCTTAAATAATAAGTTTTTTTGCAATTTACTAAAGAGAAAAAAATTGAGGGTTACCAAAGAAAATTTCCCTTTTTTATTTTGTAAATTGGAGTAACGTAGTTGCTAATTGAGGTATTTGGGATTTTATAGTGATTCTAGGTTCGTTAAATGGAGATAATTGGAGATGTGGGCTCCATGGATGAAAGTTGTGACCGAAATGAAAAATCGTTAATAAGCCGTGCCACACAAAGTTTTTGATAAATTATTTATTTAGCTTTGTTTTTTCCCCCCAAAAGAGGGTAAGATGTAGGTATTGGAGTTTGGTTCCCCAACTTCTTTGTTATGTGGTATACTGTTCGTCAGTGATATTAATGTGCTACAATGAGGCCTTTGCTGTGCTTACAGCCTTACATAACTACCTCCTTAGGTATGTGAAGTTTCTCTTGTTTCTTTCATTCCTTGCCTCCCCCCCCCCCCCCCTTCCCCGTCTACCCCTTTACGGTTTGTTTGGATAGCAAAGTGGAAGGGAAAGGGAAGTAAGGGAAGAAGGAGGAAGAAAGGAAGAGGAGAGAGAAGGTAAGGTTACATAGGAAAGATTTGGTTTATTAAAGAGGAAGGGAAAATGCATAATATCGTTTCCCTTCCGTCTTACCAAATGGTATCCAAACAAGGGAAGATGGATCCCTTTTTTCTCTTCTCTTCCTTTCCCACTAATTTCTCTATCCAAATAAAGTGTTGAAGAGGATCAGAAGAACCTGTATTAGACATTCAAGAAACTAACAAGCAGGGAAGCAGAGTCAAATTCCCTAAACAAAAAAGTACTTGCAACCTATTTTAGGGGAAATAAAAAAAGAAATAAGAAAAAAAAGAGAGCCGAATTCTTCCATTTAGTGTCGAGTCCTTCAAGGTCAATGACATCAGGATCTCTGTCCAAGGTTTAGCTTTTTGTGAAAGACATGTCTCGCATTAAGCACATGTTCTACCAATGCACCAGCCAACATATTACCCTCCCTGTGCTTATAGTATAAGATGACAACCCTGAACCCTCTCATCTGTCAAAATGATAGCACCTAAGTCATGGTTATGAATTAGCGGAGGCCTCTCCAGCATATTCTTCAGAATGAGGGCATCAGTTTCCACCTCCTGAGTGCGAATTTCCTTAATCCAGGTTCAAAGACTTCAAACTTTATCTTATAGTAATTAGCTCTGCGGCAATCAGAGAGGCAACCCTTAATTTAATTATTAAACCAACGATCCACGAGTCATACACCCTCCCCTACAGCCTTCAGCTGTAAACCCTCCGTATGTCATCTGTATTCAGCTTATAGAACCTAGGTGCAGAGGCTTCCGAGTCTAAGCTATAATCAGAATTCGTAGTTCCACTACAGTGATTGTACTTGAAAGATTTTTCATCTTACTTGGATTATTAGCTAATGGAGAATACAGTATTTGAGTATAATGCAAGGAATCAATATTAAGGGGTGGGCATGTTTGTCATAGTCTATTAGTAGTGACTTGGGGAATAAGTTAGAGGTTTGTTAGGAGAGAGTTTTCTATAAATAAGCCTCATTAGGAGGAATAAGGATATGTTGAATATTGTGAGGTTCGTTATTGGGAGAGAGTGAGCCTCTCGAAAGCTCATACTTGGGAGAGCATCCACCTCTCGAAAGTGGAATTATCATTCAAGTTACTTAATTCTCATATTATCAATATCATCATCTTTCTTCCCTAATTTCTGCCATTGTTAGAGCTGTAATGATGTCAGTTCCTAGCATATAACTGATTGAAGAATGAAAAGAAGCATGTTCAAAGCCAATTTAATGATACATATAGCTGAACCATTATTAAGTATTAACAGACCAGAGAAGTAAATAATGAAGATTAAAAAAATAAAAAATAAAAATTTAAAAAAAAATAAAAAAATCTCCCGTCAGGGTTATAGAAAGAGTTGAAATATAAGTCAATTGGCCTATAATTAGTATAGGAGAGCGATTTCAATGTTCCACAGTAGTCAGACAGTCGCAGAAAACATAAAGGTGGTACTCAATATTAGAGTTGCATTGTAACCATCTAGGGAGAGTTACTCATAGTTATCATAGATAGAACGAGATTCCAATGGTTTTTTCCAAAAAGAAGAGGTTTAGGAGGAAGGTGGTGGAAAGGGGGAAGAACCAATTTATAGGCAGAAGTAATAGAAAAATCACTATCCTTGTAACATTCCGAACCAATGAGTTATCCTGACAATTAAAAGAGGTGTCCTGACAGAAGTTGGACGTTGGGAAAAATAAGATGACTGACCCAAGAAAAATTTTCATTTACCATGTATGAGCCATCCTCCAACCCGCCACCACATCTTGAATAGGACAATCCATAAATTAGACCATTTTTTACATAGTAATGATACCACGGAGAAATATCTTCTTCTCATATCAAGAACATCTGAATCTTGTAAAAGATCTCTACCACAAAGAATGTCCCTCCAAATAGGATGAAGGGGATGAACTTGGAATATTTTAACAAAAAAATTAACAAAAAAAAAAAAAAAAAAAAAAAAAAAGAAAAAAAAAAAAAAAAAAAAAGCTGGATTTCTAGCAGTATCCAGCCTCTATAGCTCTAATTCTAAGCTTACCTTGATCCCTTTTTAGCAACCACTTCATCCTTGTCACAAATTAAGATTTGATCATCTAAATCATCTATTTTCTAGCACCCATAAACATATGAATTTGCAAATTTCATCCTAGGATTCTTAGCTGTCTTGACTTTGTAACTTAGTCTCACAAAAGATTTCTACAAATCTTAATTAGATCCTTTATAACACCCAAAAGTAAAAGGCTTAACATACCTTAAAGAGGAAAGGAATTTGAAAATGACATGATAAGAGTATCGCTATCGGGAAAAAAGGACTTTTGCTTGCTACTACTTCCTCTGTCCCTAAAAAATTGCCCCACTACAGTTTTTTTTGGTAAAACTTCTAAAACTTTTACCATGATTTCCTCTATGAATGATAATGGTCATGTGTGATCTTGTTTCGTCTCAATGTATAGATATATAAAATCAGTTTATCAAAGGATATAGCACCTTGAAAATGAGAGGTAGGCACAATGAGATGTCTAAATCGTTGAGGCATAGATTTTGAACAGTTAGCAAATATTGTCAAAAGATTAATGGGTACCCGAAATGGTTGCGAAATTATCTGTGGGACCCTTACCAAACTGAACATATTGGCATAGAAAATGTGAGAGATATGTGCATTTCTACATATATCATAGAGATCTAGAGATTGTGGGGGTTGATTTTGGCACACCAAAAGTTGATTTTGGCACATTGTAAGAGCTTAATTTTCAATGCTCCTCTAACATAAAATAGTGCCAAAATCAATTTTTGGTGTGCCAAAATCATTTCCCAGAAATTGTTTTGAGTGCCTTCCCATTGATATCACCAATGTAATAAGGGAGAGGATTCCCTTGTTGAATACCTCATAAAGGTAAAACAGTTAGTAATAGAACCATTCCAAATAAATGAAATTCCTGAGGTTGTGGCTCAAGTTCTAATGGAATTTGTTAGTTTTGAAGAAAACCAACAAGATTTTTTTACCAGTGAAAGCACTCTCAAAATTGTATCATAAACCTAAGCCAAATTGATTTTCAAAGCCATGATAAATTTTGAAGCAGGAGGAGCTTGGTTGAAAAAATGAGTTGTCTAACAATGTCTTCTAGAACAAAAACTGAGTGGGACTAAACATGTACACTATGTTTGGATAACAATAGTGAAGGGGAAGGAAAAAGAAGGAAGGGAAAGGGAGGTGTGGGGAGGGAGAAGGTGACCTTCCAATTTCCTTCCAAATCTCTCCTAGAACTGGAGGATTTGGTTTATTAAAAGAAGAATGAAAATGGATTCTTCCAATTCCTCTTCTCTCCTTGCATTAGGTATCCAAACAAAGCTTGATGCATCCTTTTTTTTCTCTTCTCTTCCTTTCCCTCCATTTCTCTATATCCAAACATAGTGGTAATCTTAAAAAGGCTAATTCTCTATGATTTTTGTGATAAGGTTGTAAATAGTATTTATATAAACCAATAAGCCTAAAATCTTTGTAAGACTAGAATATAGGAGTTAGAAAAAGTGTTATTGATCTGCTATTGAACAGCTGCATTCTCTATACAATCATACATGTAAATAGTGAGTATTTACATAAATCAATAAGCCTAAATTCTTTGTAAGACTAGAATATAGGAATTAGACAGAGTTATTGATCTGCTACTGAACAGCTGCATTCTCTATACAATCATAGTGAGTGTTTTCCAACAATGTCTGCGAACTATACCTTGCTGGACAGGTTGTACAAGAGATAGATGGTTTATAAGATATAGATAGCTTGTTGATGTAAACTTCTATCATTATTTTATAAGATATGGATAGCTTGTTGATGTAAACTTCTATCATTATTTTATAAGATATGGATATCTTGTTGATGTAAACTTCTATCATTATTTTATTTTTACCTCTCTTACATCGTTGCTGTTTTATTATATTTTATTTTCTTTTTCAGCAAAGAGAAAGCCCGATGAGAGCAGGCAATCACATTGCATAGCACTTTAGCACAGAGGAAATCGGCTTGAAGCCCAAGAAATAGCTTTTCAAGATGGTCAAGTTTTTGAGAATTATTATTTGTATGAATGGGAATGTACGCTCTGGTGCCTGACTGATAAGTGATTAAGTGCAACAATCATGCATTCACTTTACTGCAATAGTATTTCGTGTCAATGGTCGTATAATCTTATTTTACCTTTTCTCCTTTTACTACAAGTATTATAAAAAAAAATTTGTTAGTTTTCTCCTTTTATTTTTGACACTATTCACATGCAATTCTGTGTTCATCTTTTGTATTTTATGCACAAGAAAAACTGTACTTGTGGAATCTTGTTGAATTAGTCTTAATATGTACTTTCAAAAGATTAACTTTTATAATTTTTACTTGAAGATAATTAAAGATATTATTGGTTGAAATTGTGCATTCATCAAGTTAAATTGAATAAAAACAAGAGACTATGAGCTAAGGTTAATTTTTAAATTACCACCCAAAAATGTAACCATTTTCGAACTAACCACCCGTTTAATTTTTTATTCTAAATTACCACCCCTTAAATTAAATAAATGCTCAGATTACCACCCATTTCAAAAATCCGGTGGATTTTCCGTTTGTAGGCCCCACCTAACACTTATTTAAACCATTTTGACTTATTTTTTCCCCGATTTTTCTCCTTAAAAACGCTCTATACTTTAATTCACATTTCCATCCCCAAATTCAACCAAATTTCAAAGAGAAAAAATGTGAATTGGAGTTAGGAGAGTGTTTTAAAGAGAGAAATTGTGGGGAAAAATCAGTCAAAAGGGTCAAAATAAGTGTTAGGTGGGGCCCACATACGAAAAATCCACCGAATTTTTGAAATGGGTGGTAATCTAAGCATTTATTTAATTTAAGGGGTGGTAATTTAAAATAAAAAATTTAATGGGTGGTTACTTAGAAAATGGTTACATTTTTAGGTGGTAATGTAAAATATTTCCATGAGCTAATGAAGCTGAAAAAGCAGCTCTCTAGTGATCTGTAAGAAACCTAAACCAATTTAATGCCAACTTAATGTATTGACATGAGAATCAAAATTTTGATCTCGAATTCACTTGAGCAGAAGATCCTAAACCTGGTTTAGCCGTGATAATTAATAATGTGTAACGTAGTAATTGTTAGTTGTGAGATTGGCTCTTAGTTGTTACATCAGTAAATTAGCAATGTCTAGATTGTCAACTATTAGCTGTGAAGATTGTACTACAATGAATTTTGGATCAAGGTCAAGAAATAGTCAGCTCGAAATAGAAATCGACCCAACCTAAACATGAGATCACTCAACACAAAACAAACCTCTATAATAGTCATTTCGTATGTGTGGTACCCTTTGCATATATGAGCTCCACTACATTGTCATCTTTTGCGTTTAAGACCTTATTCCATTCACCATTCCTAAGGCTAATAGGCTATATAGCTTTTGTGAAACATAACAGAGTCGATTTCCATTTCCTTCCTTTCCTAGTACTTGCCTCTAATAAAAAAAAATTAAATAAAAAATAAAAAATAAAAAAAACAACTGTTTTTGAATATGATTTACTATAGGCAAGTTGCAAAAAGGCGATATATTTGGGGCTAATTTACCTTCAGCAGGAGTAATGAACGGTGCAAGGAGTAGGGAACTGAGGAAGTAATGCTGCGGAAATCTAAAATAAGTGTATTTTAGTCATCCTTTCAATGAAGTCATTAAACCTTCTTTGTTTATATAGAAATTAACCGTTTTCTACATTTGTGGAAATAGACAATGGCTGTTTTAGAGAAGTGTTGTACCAAAAAAGAACAGGAGGGAGTAAATATAAACATAAGATGGGATGGTTGTCTCTTAAACTTGATATGAAGAAAGATTATGATTGGATTGAGTGAGCTCCTCTGGCTAATGTGTGATCCTGGATTACTTTATTCAAATTAGAGAAGGCAAAAGATAAAAGGAAATCCAAATATGATGTTATTAAAAATAAAAATAAAAATCACAGCAAAAATCTGAAATTTTGATATATATATATATATATATATATATATATATATATATATATATATATATATAGAAACTCGTGTAATTACAGATTTTATTTTTATTTTATAAAAAAACACTAACAGGCAAAAGCTCGTTGATATTGCTTAGATACATCCCCACCATAAATACAAACATACAGGTCATCTGCTATTTCAGAATGTGAAGTTAAGGATCCTCACGTCGAACTGTATTCGGATTAGACATCATGTCCATCATCATCTTCTCCGGAGAATCTTCCCAGTTAGTAAATGTTTTCAGGTCAATCTGAAACCAACTCAAACCAAAGATAAGTGCTTTTTTCCTGCATCTGTATCATTGTTAGCAAAATCAACAAATGACTGTGACCTAAAAGGAAATTTACCGTGCGCCTTTGCTCTGTGAAAAGCTCCTCTCTCTTCTGGTATGACATTTGTATTTCCCTTGCAGTCTTACCACCCAATCCCCACACTTCCACATCGAGGACTGATGCTTCAACAGGAAGGTAACCCTAAAAAAGATAATCAAAGACCTCAACAATCACATATATATCAGAAAGGGCCGTCCATGGTAATTGCACTAGACATTATAGACAAGATGGATAATCTAAGCTGGATCACATATATATCAGAAAGGGCCGTCCATGGTATGGATAATCTAAGCTGGAAATCCAACATAGCTACGGCATAGAGAGTATTTTGTGCCCAAGATATCCTATCCTAAAATTCCAGAAAACTAATCATGTACCCAAATTGGACACTTTTTTTTTGGGTAGAATAAACAAAAACCAAGTTGGAAACTTGTAGCCTTGCACATGCAAATGAACTCAACCAACATTGTGATATTAGGATGTATATTGGTACCACAGATTTATGGGGGCTTACTACCAGGATTCAACTCCTCACCTGATTAGGAAATAGAGAGCCATGCTGGTATGTTTTGTCGACAGCATGATGACGTACAGTAACCTTTGCAAAGTCATCATCAAGGAATATTCTTTCATGCCCGCTAGTTCCTCCAAATGCAATCCCAACAGGCTTTGGGTGTGGATCATATGCTCTAACAGTTGAATGCAAATGACTATAAAGGTAGTTCTTCTCCGTTCCTGTCCATAGAAGGGCTCTCAAATTTAAGTACATCAGTATATATTAGTCACTTGAAAATTTCTCAAACTATCACATTCACATACCAGATGCTGAGAATACATGAAAGACTGGGAATATAGAATATAGACAACCCCCAGTCCCATAGAATCCATCTCTGTTCTCGAACCCTTGTTGTGCGAGTGCCCCTATGATCCATTTCCTGCTTATCTCACTGGATTCACCTGAAAAGGCAGAGATCAACAATAGTAATGGTCCATGATAACCATCAACATTTGACCATAATCTGTTCAGCCCTTTCCCATGATAATAAGACCTGTAAATCAATGACAGTAATCAGTCTCCAGCTCATAAGTATTGTATCCAGCCAACATGAGACTGTATCCAATCCATATAAATATTATAAGTAGATTTGAACTTCAAGCTTTATTTTGCAGCATGTGTTCAATTAAATTGACATAAAAATTTATCTCAAGGTTCGCTCCTATTTCAGGCGGAGCCTAACTACTCAAACAACCCCCCAAATGCAGTTACTCTTGGCATCAATAAAAGTAGCTGCTACATGTTTATTTATTATATATATTTTTTTTTTCACAGAAGCATAAAACTAGATATTAGTGACCAGTCACTCTATACAATAATAAAGTAATAAAACAATCATTTATCAAGGAAAACATATCATAATTTAATGGCGCATATTAAACACAAAAAACATGAATGAAAATTACAGTATTTTTGACAAATTACCATCAGATGACCTCATTTAGTCTTCACATCAAGACGTCAGTAAATGTTACTCACTCAGTTTCAGAATAAAATTTACACGTGTATATGGGCACAAAGTTTAAGAAAAAGTTGAGAGGAGATCATAAAGGGAGTTGTATAATATTTTACGAGTGTTATTTTTACTTATCTGAACTAATCTAATCTTACCAACTTATTTGAACTTAATACACCTTATTAAAAATTATTTCGATTGTAATTTGAACTTGGATAACCCTTATCAGAACTTAGTTTTCCTAAACTGACCTTATAAGACCTGAAATAAATGAAAATAAGGTGAACTGAATAGGCCCTATAATTGTTAAAAGGGGGGGGGGGGGATATAAGAGTGGAAAAGGTAAGTGAGCCATGATAGATGAGATGACAACATTTTAATGATGGTAAATCGAGTCTAAAATAAGGAACTGTCACTTATTTTAAAATAGCCAAAAGAGGGAAGAGCGTTAGAGGGAGCAGTGGAATAATACACTTATTCTATGCTAAAGTACACTACATAGAACGCCACAATCTACGCCAAAGCACGCTTCATAGATGCAAAAAAACATAGCCATATTTATCCAAAATTTACAACAAATAGCAAAACAATATAGAAGTAATAGAAATTTCATGTATTCTCAGCTTGGATTTAGAGTCAACCTTTTCAAAGCCAATTATGCTTATCTTGGTAGAATTGAGTTGAATTTTTAACAACACATCAACATCAAGACAACCAAATCAAGTAGTACAAGATGGCTCATTTCATGGTAAAAGCATAGCAAGGCAGATGTGTGCCCACCCACGCAGAGTAGTTTTTAATTCGGAGTATGGGGAGACATATATGTTGATATTAAAGACTGCATGTAGTTCAACTGGAAAGTTTCAGGAATTCCTTCAAACATCAAACAAATAAAAGGCAAATAGAAATTCCCAATCCAGAATCATAGATATTGATGACGAACCGATAAAGAAGGCTATCCGGAATCACATCATTGTTGCTAGGGAAGCATATCCTCAAAAGCTCCTCACTTATGTTACTTCTTTGGGAAAGAGCCATTGCCCATGCCCTACCACATGTTAGAATATGAACTTCACTTGACTCTGCAGAAGTGGATTTAGCAGCCATTGTCCCTGAAGCTTCTGTTCCAGTAGGCTGCTGGTAACAAGACAAGAATAGAGTCAAACACTATTGCTCTTTTATACTTAAATAAATGATGAACTTTCACAGTCCACAAGCAATCAGATTAAAATCAGAGGGAAAATGGGAAAAGACAACTCAAGGGACGCCAAATACTCCAGTCAACACAGCACCGACATTCTAGGCAAGCTGTCTACACAGCTCATTACGACATCAATTGTTTAAGATAATACTACCTCCATTTCTCAAAATATGTGATTAGAAGAGAAAGTGTGTACAACTAAGTTACAAATGTGGATTTGTCCTCACTTATACAGTGGGTATTCTGGTTAGTGA